CCCATGCTCACAGCGTTATAAACCTTTTTGTTACTCAATATCAAGCCACACTTATTGTTTTTACTTCGGCTGTGAGTGTTTGTGTGTGCTCAGGATGAGTTTAGCTTGTTCTAGCTTTATCGCCAAGCCCGTCTGCTCCTCCAGCAGTGTGTGTGTCTGTGTATGTGCGAGCAATGCTAACTGGACTAACTAAGTTGCTAGCGTTTCCATATATCAACTCCAATGTTAGCAGATGGCCTTACATGTATCTCATAGCTGGAGAATGTCTGCATTCACACACGAAATACTCATAGACAGTATACTCCGGGTGATTTACCATACGGTCAGTACATTACAGTTGGCGTTCCTGGCGTGTATGCTACCGAGCTACCGTTCATAGCGTGTATGCTACATAGCTAAACAACAAGGCTACCTAGAGCTAGACATGCTAGGGAAAACATTGTTTTCATGCCAGCTACAATGAATGACCGAACGTAGCAGACTACCCGTATAAGATTGCAATTGTAAACATGTTCTTGCTAGCCTAGACTAGCTGTTGTTCATAGTAGATTGGCATATTACACTGAACAACTAGCAAACGTAGGTTAGCATATTAGCTGGCAAGCTAAAAGTGTTGATTAGATAGATAGATTAGATAGATACACACTCCTACCACAACTACTACTAACGAATCTAAAACAACTAAGTTTCTCTAATATTTTGTGATTTGCATTTGATTTCGTCCAGCCAGATCAGGAAACTCCTGGCGTATCTGGCGGACAACACACACACGGGATGACCACTCTGATGCCTCGTCCTAAAAAGCCCCAGCACCAGTTTACAAAGCTGCGATAGGCAAGATGCCGAAAACGCCTATAAGGGGAGGAATGGATGATATACAGTGTATATATATATGTATATTTACACATGTTCATTTTGTACATTGCTAAAAATAAAGTTTGATGGAAATACTTAGTATCCTTTCTTCCCTGAATGATTTGCTCCTATAACATATCATGAGCTGACCAATCGGAGCACACTGGGCTCACAGGGAGGGGGGGGCAAGAGCTGCAACGAGCCGTTTAGTGGAGAGAGTGAATACTGCTGAATACACACACTTTACAGAGATGCGAAACCAATGTGAGTTTGGAAAAATGCACAGTATAAATCTATTTTAGTATACCTCAACAATGGAATTATGATCAGTGGAAATGGCCATGACATGGGACCTTTAAGTCGCTTCAGCTAATTAAAAAATGCTGCAGCACGTGTACTAACTAGAGTTCGGAAAAGGGACCACATTACTCCAGTTTTGGCTGCCTTACACTGGCTCCCTATAGAACACAGGATAGAATTTAAAATTCTTCTTCTCGCCTACAAAGCCCTTAATGGGCAGGCGCCATCTTACCTTAAAGAACTCATTATACCCTACTGTCCAACTAGGGCATTGCGTTCCAAGAATGCACGGTTGTTGGTTGTTCCTAGAGTCTCTAAAAGTACAATGGGAGCCAGAGCCTTTTCTTATCAAGCTCCACTTTTGTGGAATCAGCTTCCAGTTTGTGTTCGGGCGGCAGACACCCTATCCGTTTTTAAGAGTATGCTTAAGACCTTCCTTTTTGATTACTGTATTCACTTTAAGTGTCTCCCCTTAAGTACAGTACATTAGCCTGTATGCCCATGATAAATTGCCTTAGCTAAACCTTGAGCTAACTTATCCATTAGCTAGTAGCCTACCTTAGTTAACTATATTTGTTATTGTCTTTTAGCTAATTAGCTGTAAACTTGAGGCACCGGCAGCTTAGTCATTTGTTCATCACCACTCACCTTCAAACAAGCCAAGAAAAGCCGGCATAACATGGGACAGTAAAGTGGGAGGTGCTGCTACCTGTCTGTCTGAAGGGACTGTAAGGTGGGAGGTGCTGCTACCTGTCTGTCTGAAGTGACAGTAAAGTGGGAGGTGCTGCTACCTGTCTGTCTGAAGGGACTGTAAAGTGGGAGGTGCTGCTACCTGTCTGTCTGAAGGGACTGTAAAGTGGGAGGTGCTGCTACCTGTCTGTCTGAAGGGACAGTAAAGTGGGAGGTGCTGCTACCTGTCTGTCTGAAGTGACAGTAAAGTGGGAGGTGCTGCTACCTGTCTGTCTGAAGGGACTGTAAAGTGGGAGGTGCTGCTACCTGTCTGTCTGAAGGGACTGTAAAGTGGGAGGTGCTGCTACCTGTCTGTCTGAAGTGACAGTAAAGTGGGAGGTGCTGCTACCTGTCTGTCTGAAGTGACTGTAAAGTGGGAGGTGCTGCTACCTGTCTGTCTGAAGGGACTGTAAAGTGGGAGGTGCTGCTACCTGTCTGTCTGAAGTGACTGTAAAGTGGGAGGTGCTGCTACCTGTCTGTCTGAAGTGACTGTAAAGTGGGAGGTGCTGCTACCTGTCTGTCTGAAGTGACTGTAAAGTGGGAGGTGCTGCTACCTGTCTGTCTGAAGTGACTGTAAAGTGGGAGGTGCTGCTACCTGTCTGTCTGAAGTGACTGTAAAGTGGGAGGTGCTGCTACCTGTCTGTCTGAAGTGACTGTAAAGTGGGAGGTGCTGCTACCTGTCTGTCTGAAGTGACTGCCGATGTCCGCACCGCTGTGCAGGAGACGTGGAGGTACGGAACTTCACAGTCTAATCTCCCGACCTGATATTTTGTATTCAATCAATATATTTTTGGAAAGGGAAACTGTGCGCAAACAGCAGTAGATATATATTAATTTATAAAAATTAAAAAAAGGGGGAGAAAGGGGCACTTTCTCTGGAGGAAGAAAAAGGGCAGGGGCTCAAGCCCACTTTGATGTCTATGTGTGCACGTGCCTGCTAAGGGAGTGCATGTACGTAGACACGTTGTGCCTCTCCACCTCTGTTCCTTACTTCTTACTTGCTACCCTTTTCCCTCAACCTATCCTAAGGGAGTGCATGTACGTAGACTAGGGATGTGCATCTCCATCACTGAGGCCGATGCGATGCGCATCTCGATACGTTGCCAACGATACGACACATTAACGATACATTTGAAACACCAGGCGATGCGATATGATACGATACGATTCACCCCTGTTGCGATACAGTTCGATACGATTTGATTCAACATTATGCGATTCGGGGCGATACGATGCGACTCAACACGATGCAAAATAATGATACTTCAATATGGTACGACAGAGGATTTTTGTTTTATTCCTTATATGCAGCAAATCATAAATTAACAAAAAAGTGCTTTACATATTTGGTTCCCTCTACTAGTACTGCACATCCCATCATGCTGTTTCTTTTTTACCTTTTTTACCTTAAAAAACTCTCCAGAGTACAGTACAATTGTATAACACCTCACAGTTAAACAATTTAAGGATGCATTGCCCATGATTAACAATGTGCAAATAACAACTACCATAGTGCAATGCCCATACAACTACAGCCTGATGTGCTTAACACTCATTCATAGGCTAACTCACCAGTGAGCAGAAAGCAGTGGTTTCTATATGAACAATAAAGAAAATAACCTTTCACAAACAGGTATTTCATAACTGCTTACCATTGTAAGGAAGACATTTAAACTATTATTGGCAGTCACAGGCTGTTGTAAACTAAACACCACTCTCACTGACAGAACACCTCACTGAGTGATTTAACTCATGTCTTACTTTCAGGTTTCTCTTTTCAGCCGCAGACCCCATGTCGCCTCTTTATGTGCGTCGCTAAGTTCCTCGTACTACTTGTGTACTTTAAAGCGGCACGGCATCGTTTACAATTTGCGAGCGATTTTTCAAGTTGACCGTCTTCCTTGAAAAATCCGAAGAGTTGCCAAACGTTTGATTTGTAGGTATTTTTCGGTGCGCTGTGTTTCTCTTTCTCCTCGACTTCCATGTGTGTTGATAACTGAGACTCTCGGCCTCCGTAGTGGCGAAGCAAAGATCAAAGATCGTCTCTGCTGAGTGCTGACAGGATGAGGGGATATTATATGAATGAATCGTTTTTTTACCGATGCAAAGACGTTACAATCGATGCATCGCGAGTTCAAGCCAAACTGTAGCCGATGTGCACTCTTTCAACCGGTGCACTCGCATTCTGAACGTTTATGCCGGTGCACCAATGCGAATCGGTGAATCTTAACATCCCTAACGTAGACACGTTGTGCCTCTCCACCTCTGTTCCTTACTTCTTACTTGCTACCCTTTTCCCTCAACCTATCCTAAGGGAGTGCATGTACGTAGACACGTTAGTTTAGCTGCTATAGGCTTAGACTGTCGGGGGACACCTTACTTCTTCCTTCTCTCTGTCTGTACCTGTGTACTCTCATGTTCCCAATAACCCAGCTTCCCCCACATTTCTTTTTGGTGTCTATCTACGCCGGGACCCTGAGTCGTGGCTGATCCTGTTGCTGTGGTCCTGAGTCCTGGATCCTCTATCCTGAGTTCTGGACTGAGTCCTGGACTTTGAGTCGTGTCTGAACCTGTCTCTGCGGTCCTGCCTGACTCTCATCATACTACTTCCCTGATGGCTCCCACAGGATTGTTGACATCCTCGTGGATTCATCTTATTATTATAGACACATGCATTTCCAAACATTTGGTCTACCTATGCTGTAAAATGTATTATCTCTTTGATTTACACACGGCATCTATTGCACGTCTATCCGTCCTGGGAGAGGGATCCCTCCTCTGTTGCTCTCCCTGAGGTTTCTCCCATGTTCCCCTTTAAACTGTGGGGTTTCTCTGGAAGTGTTTCCTTGCACGATGTGAGGGTCTAAGGACAGAGGGTCTAAGGACAGAGGGTCTAAGGACAGAGGGTCTAAGGACAGAGGGTGTCGTATTGTCACTGATATTCTGTACAAACTGTGAAGTCCACTGAGACTAATGTAACATTTGTGATATTGGGCTATATAAATTAACATTGATTGATTGGTTGATTAATGGATGTGTTCAAGGACACTGGTCAGTACACAGTGATTCATCATATAGATATTAAGATGACATGAGAGAAGACAGACGATACTCACTGATCTCTGGTCAGGTTCAGGGGACGAGCCCTTATCTGCAATTCTTCTCCTGTAACAAATAAAGGCCAGACACTTGAAGGGGGTCCACATGACATAATTCACCACACTAAACATTTTGAGTAAAGCCATTAGTCCAAATATAATCACGGGAGAGTGTGAAATCATTCTTCAGAAGGTATTAAATCCTTATTGAGAGGCTTTTGGTTACATACTGTGACTGTAACCTCTGCATGAATAATGCTGACATCTGCAGTTCATTTACAATAATAATAATAAATGCTATTTGTATAGCGCTTTTCCTGGTGCTCAAAGCGCTTATTATTCTTCTTATAAGTCTTTTATTTTGACCTCCTCTTCTTGACATTTCCGAAATACACCAGTAACATTGAGATAAAATATGATGTTTATTATTGAAAGTTCATCATGTGGAATCAGCAGTGTTTGGGAAGTGACCCTACCTCCTGGCCAACAGGGCGCTCATCTCCTCCATGAGCCCGCCTCCTCCAGACAGAGGGCCGTTGCCTCTGACTTCAGATTTGGCCCCTGCGGGCCCTCCAGCCCCCAACATGGCTGCGGCCAAAGAAGCGCCTGCATCATCACTCTAAAGGGTACAAACACACACAAAAAGTTCTTTACAGAGGGAAGTATCAACCCTGATGGCCTTGTTATGTTTATTTTATATCAGAAAAGTAAAAAAGAATGAAAAATGTATGGTTGATTTCAGTTTTTGTTGACAGAACTGCATGTAAAGTCCTCTGAGATGAGATGCGACAGAAGTTGATTGTGTGTGTGTGTGTGTGTGTGTGTGTGTGTGTGTGTGTGTGTGTGTGTGTGTGTGTGTGTGTGTGTGTGTGTGTGTGTGTGTGTGTGTGTGTGTGTGTGTGTGTGTTTCACTGACAGTGATGCTGTGTGCATGAAGATGAAGTGTGAGTATCTGAGCTGCAGAAGACACACAGACATGATGTATGTGCAGCTGCTCGCCTGAACACTCATCATGTGACGTTTGCAGAGCTGTGAGAGTGGGAACAAGCAATCAGAGCTCACCCTCGGCACTTTGCGCAGCTTGGCTCCAGCGAGGGCGGCGGCCAGGCCTGAGATGGGACGCTCCTCTGCAGGAGAGAACAGGCCGGGGGGGAGGGGGGGGGGCGGCGGAGGCAGCGGGAGTCCGGGAGGAGGAGGTGGACCTGGTGGTGGAAAAGGGGTCCCTGGAGTCAATGTAGGGGGCAGTTGAGGGGGTGGGGGTGGGGGAGGGTGGCCGGCTGGGGTGGAGGGGCTGGAAGTCACAGCAGAGCCGGGAGGCAGGGGTGGAGGTGGTGGAGGGGTGGGGGCGATCCACTCTGGGGTCTGTACCTCATCTGTAGGGGAGGGGGTGGGGGGGTTGGGAGATGATAGAGGAATGGAAGTGAAGTTCATACTGTCACTCATCAGGTAAGCATCACCCCCCAATCAAATACGCTCTTACCAAAACTATTTTAATATTAGTGTAATATTATGGCGCATTTCCACCATGGCGCGGAGCGCGGTTTAAGCGTGCCGTGTCGTGCCGTGCCCGTTTTTGGTTGCGCTTCCACTAGGCCTAGTTACGGCCCGGCCCGGCCCGGGGCCACTTTTTCACCTCTTTTCTGGCCCGACAAAATTGTGGTTCTATCGGGGCCAACAAACAGGGCTGAGTCGGGCTGAGTATGCTAAACTAGAGAGAGAATCGCTGGCAAGGGGGCTACAACTACAACAAGATGGACATATTTGACCGTGATTTAATTGTAATACACGTTTCAAAATGATGCCGAAGTAACAACATACTGATACCGGTTAGTAAAAACCATGAATTAATGCTTTGTCAAGTCTGCAGACAGACGGCAGGCGAAAAACCTTTTAAAATGCGTGTTTTCTAAATGGAGATCGGCTAAGCTAACGCAGTATATGCTCCGACCGTCCACACTCACAACAACGGCCTATACAGACATAAATAAAGCAGCGACTGTATTCGGCATGACACAGACAGTCTGTGGTTTGTACTTGTTTAACTTTTGTCGAGTTTCTGAACATATATAAGGAGCTGTGAGCTCTGAGTGCTAACAGCTAACGGCTGTGTTGTTTTTCTGGGGTTCTCATTGAAGATGACGTCACGGCTCCGCCTACACTGCGTTACTATAGTAACTACCCCAGTTCCTAAACTGTAATGGAAGCGCAGCATGAAGTGAGCCAGCCCTGTTAAGGCCCAACGCGGCCAAGCAGTACCGAGCGTGGCCGAGGCCGACCGTGTGGTGGAAATGCGCCATTAGTGTGATGTAGACTGAGCTACAGTGTTCTGGTGGAACCTGCAGTCATGTTTTAATAAACATGTAACACACATGAGGTATGACAGCGTGCCACGTCTGCTAATCATGCAGCAGAGAACCTGTGAGCGGCTTTATACTTATTAACGATAGGAAACATCACAAATGGTTATTGTATTAAAAACATTTTTGACAACATATATCATTATAATAAGTGTCCATCTTCAGAGGGTACATATTTGAATAAATTGAGCACAGAGAAAGTCAACACTTTTTAGTGCAATTACACACGCACGCACACACAATGGCCTAAAGACAATCAACAGGAAGTTGGGCAGTAGTTGTGTTTGACTCAATATCATCTGCCTACATATAGCAGTCCTCATTAATAAAGTTGATAACATTTATAATCTGAAAAAAGTGAGCTTGTCCATTCTAAACTAAACAAGCAGATATACTTAATTATGATCAGGAATAATAATTAGGCTGCTCCCAATTCCCATAATCAAGTATTTATGGTGACATGGGCCAGCAGTCTAGTCACTATGCTGACCTCAGAGGTCATAGGTCGTCAGAATGCCTCCTGAGTTATTTCGAGAAATGGCTGTGGAGCTGTTACTGATGTGTTTCCATACTGGCCCCTGCAGAGAGAGGCTCCTGCTGGGGCCCCATATTAGGAGAAGGATGATGTGTACTACACACAGGCCATGCAAACACACATGCTGCTGTTAACACCCCCCCCCGCTGTTAGTGTGTCAGTAGGACAGCAGTGAGAAACTATGGAAGAGAGGTTGTGAGAGAGAGAGAGCAGGATGTGGACTGGAGGCCTTACCCTGGGGCTGACAGGACGAGCCCCCCCCCTCTGTGGAGATGTTTGACCCCCCTGGCCCAGACAGGCCCAGGCCCTCTGGGGGGGAGCAGAGCTCAGCAGAGGTGGTGGCGGCTGCAGCAGGGGGTGCTGTGGAGGGAGAGGGCACACCAGGAGCCTGGGATGAGGATGGGGGAGACAAGACGAAGGAAGAAGACAGAGGGGGAGCTATGGGGGAGGGGAGAGGGGGTGGGGTAGGTGGTGGAGGCGGGGTGGGGCAGGCGATGCCGGTAGGGGTGTGGCTGTGTTGGATAGTCACTGGAGAAGGTGCAGGGAACATGGGCGGGCCGTTGGGGGCCGGTGAGGGGGGCTTCTGGGTGAGAGGGGAGGGGGCAGCGATCGGGACTATTGGTCTTAGGCCTGCAGCCTTCCCTGGGGGGCTGCTTGTTATAACAGGGGGCGAGGGGGGCAGTGGAGTGAAGTTGCATGCTGACCACACCACAGACTTGGGCGGGGGGGTGGGTGAGGGGGCAGGAAGAGGCGCTTGCTGTCGCCTTGGCACCGTGGCGTAGTGAGGCAGGACCGGGTGGAAGGCAGAACCCAACGAGGTGGCGAACCGGGAGGCTGAATGCCTTAAGGGTGGGGTGGGTGGGGTGGTGGAGGAGGGCAAGTGTGACCCGGTGGCCGGGTAGGAGGGTGAGGAAGGGGATACGGGCGTGGAGGACGTCCTGCTGTATTCCTGAGGTGTTGGGGTGTACAGGGTGCTTTGGAAGGCTAAACGTACAAAGAGAAAAACCAAGGTGAAGGACGAGACAGGACAGAAGGGAAGGAAAGAAGGAAGGAAGGAAGCAGCCGTCATGCAGAGAGGAGGAGACGGCAGGTCAGGGAAGGGAAAAAGGAGGGAGAGAGGAAAAAAGAGAAGGGGGAGATGAAGCAGGAAGAACGGTTTAATCCAGGTTGTGTGTATGTTAGTGGACAGGTGTTAGCACCGTGGACACACACACAAGCCTTCGTTTTGGGTAGCAAAGGAAGAAAGTGAAAAAACACACAGACACACAAACACACACACACTTTTTCTAATTATTCCCTTTTTTTTAATGGCCTTGATACTAGTTGTAATGTGGTTTTCCTTTAATATCACAGTGGGGTCTTCGTAGTATTTGATGGTGAGTGTATGTTTTGTCTATGAAGAGAGTCTTTTTAACCCTTCCTCTGTTATATATCACACAGGCTCCGCCCTCTACTGGACTCTATGGGTACTACTCTCTATCATGCTATGCGTGCATTCACCTACTGAGTTGCATAAACGTAGCCGGCCAATCAGGGCGAGCCTACCTGAATGCGCGCGCAGGCCCACAGTATATAAGGCGGCTACGCCTCCCAACCGTCATCCTTTTTCTCTTCAGCGAGCAGCAACAACTGAAGCTAAACGAAAGAAGATAGATAGAAGAAAGTGAAAGAATATGGACTCACCACTCCTTGAACATCGGCCTTGCCCTACATGCCCGGGCCTAATTGCGGGCGCTGATCCCCACCGCTTGTGCTTCGAGTGTTTGGGGCCTGACCACGCGGTGGAGGGCAGCAAACATTCTCCGTCCTGCAGTGCCTGTCGTGCGCTCCCACGGCTCAGACGCCAACATAGCCTGGAACACTTCCAGGCGCATTATGTCTCGCCGGACTAGGCGCAGGACCAGGAGGAACTCGAGGTGGTCGAAATGGAGGACCAGGAAGTGGCCGAGGAGGTGCCGTTCGTGTTCGCCATTCCGACGGGCCGGGCGGCCCCGTTTGTCGAGGAGGAAGAAGACTTCTCGTTGTTGGGCGCTTCTGAGTCCGGCGTCCACGAGGGTCCACCGCGCAGATCTGCCCGTCAGGATTTCCCGCTGGTGATGGCCATGGCGGCGGAGCTTGTGGGTCTACCGCTCCCCCCTCCGATACCACCCAAACCGGTGAGCCGCCTCCGTCAGGGGTTTTATGGCCCGGTTCAGCCAGCCCAGCCGGCCTTTGTTTCGCCCCCGTTGCCAGATATCTGGCAGTGTGTGGAGGCGACGTGGCGGCACCCTCTGAAGACGAGGGCTCCGGTGGCTGGCATGGCAGGTTTGCTCAGGGTGCAGGGCCGCACGGACAAAGCGTGTCCCGGTGTGCCCCCCCTCAATGAGAGTCTGGTGGCCTATCTGCTCCCACAGGCAGCAGGTTGGGCGGAGGGGAGAAGACCCCTGCCCCCGCTGCCTCGTGACTGTGAAACGCTGGAGTATCTTGATAAGATATTTCAGCTCGGGGCACAGCTGGCGGCAGCGGCGGCCAATAATCTGGACGTGTTAGGGGTTTCGCTGATCACCCCTCAGCAGGAAGCCCCCGCCTCCCCATCTCAGGAAGACCGGAGTGATTATTCGGACCGCTGCATCGGGCAGATTAATAATCTGGTCCATGGTGTAGCCACCGACTCACGGTGCTCTCCAAGAAGGACCGTGATGATCTCCTTGGAGCCCCAGTATTCACGGAAGGGCTCTTCGGATCGATCACCTAGGTCACGCAGCGCTTCAGCCGCTTAGAGGAGGAAAGAGCGCAGCTCAGCCGTATGCTGCCGCTGGCTCTCCCTCAGCGGGGTGAGCGTGAAGTCACGGTGAGGAGGAGAGAGAGGCGCAGGTACAGAGCGCCCACGGCTCCCGCTGCCTCTCCTGCTTCCTCGGCTGGTTCTATGGGGCGGGTTCAATTCCAGCACCCGCGGGGCCAGGCCGGGCGATCCCGACGGACTTCTGTCCCGGCTCCGCGTCAGCAGAGGGCTTCGGGATGGGGGTGCACCGTCCTCCCGGAGATGACGCGCTCCCACAAGAGTGCGCCGCGGTGCGTTCAAGGACCTCAGTGGAAAATCGGCCCTTTCTGTGTCAGCCCCCCATGGACCAAACTTCCTTTTATGGAGGGTTTGGAGTGGGCCACCAGAGAGTACCACAGCTTCTTAGCTGTGGCTCTACAGCTGATTGCATGTCCCCTAACGCAGTGTTACGGGGAGTGGAAGCTCAGCTGTGTACTGACAGTGTGTATGGACAGGACACTGAGACTGTGGGTTATTCACTCCAGTTTTGCAGCATCCCTCCTCCATTCAGAGGCATAAGAGAGGCAAATCTATCATCCCAAGAGGAGATAGGTTTCCTCTCGGCAGAGATTCAGGTCCTGTTGCAAAAACAGGCGGTGTGGAGGCTTCACCCGGAGGTGGTGAAGCAGGTCTGGACTCAGTTCGGGAGAGCAGAGGTGGACCTGTTCGCCAATCGGCGCAACAGCCACTGTGCCCTTTGGTTCTCCCGGTGTCACAATCCGCCCTTGAGGGTGGACGCATTTGCACACGAGCCATGGCCAAGAAAGCTGCTTTACGCCTTTCCACCGCTGCACCGTATCCCCCCCCTCCTGGAGAGGGTGAGGCGGGAACGTCTGTCAGTCATCCTAGTGGCCCCAGGTACTCGGAGGTGACACAGATGATGGTGGGCCAGCCCTGGACGATTCCTCAGGTCTGGGGGGCGCTGTCTCAGGAAGCAGGTGCAATAGGGGTCGTTACCCACTCTGGGTCAACCTCTCCAGGCTTGGCTCCTGAGAGGGACAGGCTGAGACAGGTGGGACTGTCTGACAACGTTATTCAGACTATCCAGGCAGCAAGAGCAGGATCCTCACAGCCTGTTACAGGCCAAAGTGGACGGGATTCCAGCGATGGTGTGAAGAAAGAAGTCTAGAGCCGCTATCGTGTACGTTGGGCTCTATTCTTACCTACTTACAGATACTGGTGGACAGGGGGCTGGCTCATTCCACAATTAAAGTGTATGCAGCAGCCGTTTCGTCCTGCCATGAGGGATTTTGAGGCAGGTCAGCCTTCAGTCAGCCGCTTATGTCGCGGTTTTTGCAGGGGGTCAGGAGACAGCGCCCTGCACGCCTCCGCCCCACAGTGGGACCTGCCGTTGGTGCTCGAGGCTCTGGTCACAGAACCATTTGAGCCTCTGGAGCTCTCCTCCCTGAAAGCACTGTCATGGAAGACAGCGTTGCTACTTGCCTTGACTTCGGCTAAAAGAGTGTCCGAGCTGACCGCTCTGTCGGTGCACCCAAGTTGTCTTTTGATCCGGGGTGACCGTAGCGGGGCGACACTCAGACCGAACCCCTCCTTTGCTCCCAAGAGCCAAAGGAATTTGTTCAGGTCAAGGGCTATTCAGTTAGGTGGCTTTAATCTTTCACCCCACATTGGGGCCAGGGAGGCTAAATTGCACCTCCTCTGCCCAGTGTGTGCGCTAGCATGTTCTGTAGAGCAGACGGCTGCCATTAGGCGCACTGAACAGCTATTTGTGTGCTTTGGAGATGGTGTGGCTGGAAAAGCTCTCTCCAAGAGGCGCCTGAAAGGATGGCTCTGCGAGTGCATTACACATGCCTATGGAAGGGCGGGGAGAGCCCTCCCCACGGGGGTCCGTGCACACTCTACACGGACTGTGGCTGTGTCAACAGCCTTATTCAGCGGCGTGAGTGTAGAAGATATATGCACGGCGGCGTCTTGGTCTACGCCAGGCCCCTTCATAACGTTTTATCTCTTGGACATGTCTGGCTCCTTCTCGTCGTCTGTGCTTGCCGGGGCAACACATGACTGGTGAGAGGGGGGGGACTGTGGGTCAGTAGGTATTTGACCCCCCCCTGGACATAATGCACTTTCCCATGCTCCTTGGGGACCTGGGAAACATGGTGCGCAGTGAGCCCCATAGGCAGGCGGGGAGAGCCTTCCCCACTATTTTTTTTTCTTCCATGCACACTCTACACGAGGTAAGCATGTGTGAGTGTGCCTTACCAAGCTGCGGCCGCGACTTCTCCACGGTTACAACCGGATGTGAGGAAGTTGGGGTGCGGTGGATGTTAGCCAAAAGCCGGTCAGGGGCAGTGTGATGGGTCGATGTTGTTGGACGACAGGGCGTTTATACATCGGGGCTCCGCCCACTGTACCCATAGAGTCCAGTAGAGGGCGGAGCCTGTGTGATATATAACGGGGGGTTACGTATTGTAACCCTAGTTATATAAGCACAGGCGGAGCCCTCTACCTAGGGGCCCTGTCTTTCCTATGCTGCTCGCTGAAGAGGGTGTAGGATGACGGTCGGGAGGCGTAGCCGCCTTATATACTGGGGGCCTGCGCGCGCATTCAGGTAGGCTCGCCCCGATTGGCCGGCTACGTTTATGCAACTCAGTAGGTGAATGCACGCATAGCATGATAGAGAGTAGTACCCATAGAGTCCAGTAGAGGGCGGAGCCTCTGCTTAGATAACTAGGGTTACAATACGTATCCCCCCGTTTCATGTGCATATTGGCTGATTTGTGTTTTACGACCGCTGTATTTGTCTACATGTATTGTCTGTGTTTTATCTGTTGTAACTTTGTTCATGCTGCCTTTCTTGTTCAGGTCGCTCTTAGAAACGAGATTTGAATCTCAATGAGACTTTTACGTGGTTAAATAAAGGATAAATAAAGGATATATATGAGCTCTCTGACTAATTACCTTCAGTGTGCTGTAAATATGCTCCGCTAGCGATTAGCATAGCCTGCACGCTGTTGAGAGGAGCTGCCGTATGTTATGGTCGGGGGGGATGTAAAGTGGGTCACCTTATGCTTCACTGTTCCTTACTAATATTGTCATCCTACACAGTCCTTATTCTGCCAACATATTCTGCATTGGAAACTTAGAAAAAACCCTGACATACTATCACACACACACACACACACACACACACACATACACACACACACACACACACACACACACACACACACACACACACACACACACACACACACACACACACACACACACACCACTTCCACTCCACTAGACACATACAAACTTCACTCTTTTAATAAACCCAGAACGTTTCTTCATGCGTTTCTTATTTTTCTAGCTTTTGCCAACTTTCACTGTTCCTCACCTCGGCGTCAAACAATCAGGCCCCAGCTTCGCTCTGATTTCACTATTACCACACGATCAAAGCACAGCCATTACAGAGAGCTGGACACATGCACACAGGAACATGGTGCTCACATACACACACATCAGAAGAAGGCAAGCCAATACTGAAGCCAAGCAAAACTACATTTGGGACAACTTCAAAAAACAAAAAACATTATCAGCAGAAAAATAACCGTATCAAGCTCCAGTACGTGTGAGATTGTGTGTGTGTGTGTGTGTGTGTGTGTGTGTGTATGTATGTGTGTGTGTGTGTGTGTGTGTGTGTGTGTGTGTGTATGTGTGTGTATGTGTGTGTGTGTGTGTGTGTGTGTGTGTGTGTGTGTGTGTGTGTGTGTGTGTGTGTGTGTGTGTGTGTGTGTAGGCAGGAAGGTGCATCACTCACCTGCGTTTGAGATGCGTCTTCCTCTCTCCCAGTCCTGCTGCTCTCTGTCCAGCTGCTCGTGCTCCCTCTCCAGCAGCTCTCTCCCGCTGCGCTGCTCCTGCTGCTCCTGCTGCTCCTGCTGCTCCTGCTGCTCCTGCTGCTCCTGCTGCTCCCTCTCCGCCTGAGCCTCCCGCTCTGCTTCACACTCCTGACGTTCACGTTCCTGACGTTCACGTTCCTTTCTCTCGCGCTCCAGGCGCTCCCTGTCTTGGCGCTCCCTCTCTCCTCGCTCCCTCTCTCCTCGCTCCCTCTCTTGGCGCTCCCTCTCTCCTCGCTCCCTCTCTCCTCGCTCCCTCTCTCCTCGCTCCCTCTCTTGGTGCTCCAGCTCCTGATGCTCTCGCTCGATCTCCTTCTGCCTTTGCGACTCCTGAAGCTGCCTGGAGGAGGAGAGGAGAAAGACCAGATAACTAATTAAGGGAAATAAATCTATTTCTTATTATATATACTTAGTGTATACTAGTGTATACTTTGTGGTTGTGTGAGGTGAGTTTGAGAAAAGGCTTCTACTGCTGTCATTATATTAGTTCAAGCTATTCTGGGCACATTCAAATACAAAGTGAGGACTGCCTGTGGTTATAATCTCCCTCTGCTGCTAACTGCAAACCAAAGACAAATAAATAAAATAAGAGGCAAAAATGTAAAATGAGATGTTTTTCTCTTTTTAATGTAAAATGAGATGGGGTCTTCCTGTAGGTCTTCTATGTAAAGTGTGCCTGCAGATGCAGCTTCAGTCAGCAGGGGTCAGCAGAAGGCAGCAGTGTGTTAGCTGTGAGGATATCATGTGTGATAGAGAACCATGCTGATGATAGAACTATAATGGTCTCTGTAGGGAAACTGCTGTCAGAGCTATTTGAATGACAATATCAAATAAGAAAAGGGCATGAAGGAGAATAACACAGCTTGTGTAGATAACAGAGACACAGGATGCGTGCGCCACGCTCTCATTACCAGCTAGAAGTGTCTTGTAGATGTATGACAGTAAAGGAAGACAATCTGTCAAGTTAGAAACCTAAACATTCACGCTTTGTTTTAGGCCACCCAAGGTGTCATTGAGCAAGGCATGGCAGCCCCCCCGCTCTGACACCTCTCCACTACACTAATGCTGTTTGTGCATGTGTGTATTTCAGGCCTGTGTGATGTGATACAGAACAATAAAGTGAATATTGAATTTCTCCTACAGGGCTTGATACAGTTTGTCTTCTTCTTAATACAAAAAAAAGAGCCAGTAATCTAATATGTTACGATGATTCTTTTTCTATGGGCCCTCTTTTGCACACAATCACTCGCTTGTAACTATTGCAGTGTTGGGTTACATTGTGACTGAATATAGGGGAAATAGAGAGCATCAAAGCTAGTGACCCGGCTGCAGAGCTTCACAGGATTATCCTGACCAATAAGATGCAAGGGAGGGGTTAAGGAGATTTTAGAATATATCTGTATGTCTGCTACACCTCAATCTCATTGACTCCCATGTCCCTCCAATAAAAGAGGGAAGTTATCATGATCATTTGTGGCAGTAGTCTTCATCTTGCCCTTTTCTATGCCAGGATGGCTAAACTGCCATCAGCGTTTCAAATCTGCTGCACTTGAACTACCAGCTGTGTTGGCAGATTGATTTATTAAGAACTGAGAGGATTATTATCCCACCAAAGATCACACGCACACATACACAGTGTGTAGTAGTAGTTTACAAAATGTGTTCCTACTCTCTCTTATTGAGGGCTGGTAACCAGTTTCATTGTGTTTATTTTCATGAAATAATTAATCAGTAAATAAATAAAAAAAGTATAAAATATATTAATATTGATAGATTTGTCAAATATTTATTATGATATATATATTCAGATGTTGCTCTGGATATATTATAGGCTTCCTGTCATTTAATTGTACAAAAGATGGAGAGGCTTCATTTCAAACCATAATGTTTGTAGGGTTATTAAATGAGTAAATGAATCCCCTGACTTTGGGTACAACAGGATACTAACAAAATGTTCAGTGTTGGTGAACAATAACTGTTCAAATGTCTCCAAAGGGTGCACAGAGTGATTAGGAACAGGTGAATGAGTTTAATGTTCACAAGCTAAAGGTGTGTGGAGACTACCAAGTGACAGTGTACAAACAGTAGTGTGTGCATAGAGTAAACTTCTGTGTCAGGAAAACACAACGTTGAGCTACTGGGAAGTACTCAGAGTGTGTATGAGCAAAGCAGATCCCTCCAGCTGGACCAGGGAGCGCTAACATGCCAACTGTATCCTGACAGTCATCTTACACATTAGACTCCAGTCCGTTGTCTCATTCTTTGCCTATTTTTCGCCTCTAGTTGGAGATGGCTGTACTTGCTCAGTCTGTCCTGAGATAGTTTGCACTGGCATTGATGAATGATTTATAACTCTGTGGCTTTTAAAAATCTTGACTGTTGGCCAAATGTTGTGTTAGAAAGACAATAAAGTTGTAAACTAGTTGAAATAGGATTGTAACACCTGAACAGTGCACATGGACATGTGATACATGTGTTGGAGTCCACTGTTATTACCTTTCACACCCAATATTGAAAATAATATTCCTTTGTTTTCTTTTTTTAAATAACAATTCCAGAACCGATTATGTGAAAAAATAAGGATGGTCAGGGGACAGTGTTTGATGTATTTGTCACTTCCACATGTCTCCATATTCCCTTCCTGTGACAGGAGGAGCTCGAACAGGTTTCCCCTCTCTGCCTGGCATTAGTGTTTCAGGATTCTCTGCTGTGAAAAGCCTCACAGTTCAGCTGCCGTCTCACTGGCCTCGTGACAAGAGTTGCCAAGGAAACTGTTGCTGAGGGAGCGTGGGCGGGCGCATGGGCTGAATCCCCGCACGAATATAGACATATGTGCACATGCACATAGCTTGCTTTCCTCTTTGAATCCACAAGGATGCAAGACAGGATGCTAATAAAGTGACGCTAGGGGTCTTAGTAACACTAAAGGATGGAAGACCGACAGTAACAGTTTTTATACAGCTTTATGGTTCCTGTTGCCTTATGAAATCATCAAGCCAATCCACCATATTGGTTTTAGATATTTCTGTGTGTGTGTGCGTAAATATCTGCAGATATCAAACTGTGTTGGTGACAAGGTGCCATCCAGAGCAGCTGCTGGTGTTTTCAACAGCTAAGTGCTAACAGCTAACACACATTTATCACATTTCTCCACCATCCTCACTTTGATCGAAGTCCATGCATCACATCCTCTCTCTCTCTCTCTCTTTCGACACACACACACACACACACACACACACACACACACACACACACACACACACACACACACACACACACACACACACACACACACACACACACACACACACACACACACACACACACACACACACACACACACACACACACACAGCTATTTATACGGCAGCCTCTTATTGCAGCTGGTGTTTGTGATGTGAGGGTAGCACAGTTTGTGAACAGGTGGTCCTGCAGGTTATATTTACAGCCCCCCATCAATCACACCAGCCGGCTCCACTCTTTTTCATCCATCTCTGTCTCAGTGACAAGAAAGGGGAATTAAAGAAGAGGTGGACGACCGACAGTAAGATCGGTTCTGCTGTCATGTGACCCTGTGCGAAACCCCATTACAGAGACCCTTATCCCATAATGCTCTCTGTCCTCCTCCGTGTCATACACAGCAGAGATGAGAAGCCATTTTGATTTTTTTTCTAGTGGCAGGTTGTAGAAGACAAAGGGTTTTTCTCCATTGTGCTATAAAGCCTCCGGTTTTACAGGGCACACAAAAACACACAGAAATATTTTAGATGCTCCAAACAGAGGAACCCAGGCTGCAGATGTGTCTTTAGCTTAAACTGGACACAAATGAGAAGGTTTATAAAATGGATGAAATAATAGTTCAAAGTTTGCTTAGTCTGAGCAAGCAGAGCCGCCACATCTTCCAAAGCTAGCAGTGTGTGAGTGCTGGGGTCCTCACTAACAGCGCCCTGAGGCTGGCTCTGGATCAGCAGGGGACCTCAGCTGCCTGTGTGTCAGCTGCTAAACCTGGAGCATGAGCGCAGCACAGGAACACAACCCAAGGGTCAGAGTGTGTGTGTGTGTGTGTGTGTGTGTGTGTGTGTGTGTGTGTGTGTGTGTGTGTGTGTGTGTGTGTGTGTGTGTGTGTGTGTGTGTGTGTGTGTGTGTGTGTGTGTGTGTGTGTGTGTGATTAATAGTATTTGGTATTTTGATTGATTGATTGACAGGGAGAGAGTGAGGAGAACATCAAAATGATGACCGGTATTACTAAAGTCTGATGTTAGCTCATTTGAGGAGTTAGAGACATAATGAAATGGACGCCTCATGACTTTCAGGTGGGAGGTAACTAGGTACTGAACTTAAGTCAAATTTGAGTATTTCAATGTTATGCTACTTTTACCTTATACTCCACTACATTTATTAAACCGCTATAGCTGCTCTTAACAAAATGCAACTATAAGAATTCAAGTGGACTCACTCTTTAGGTCAGAGTCAAATTATTTTAATATTTTATGAAAAGTCAATCAGAACTTTGTTTGCCACAACAGTAATATGCTACTTGATGCAACAATATAAATGTTACATTTATAAATATAAGTACTCATTTTCTGCACAATGAGTACTTTTTCTTCTTATACTTCAAGTACATTTAGCTGATAACACTTTTGTACTTTTACTTGAGTAAGATTATGAATGCAGGACTTACTTCAACAAAGTATTTGGACAATAATATATTGGCACTTTTATTCAACTGAAGCATACTTATATGCTGAATACTTCTTCCATCACTGCTTTCAATGTAATGACACACCATGGACACTTTCCATCCATAAAGCGACACATCTCACTTCACTGCCCAAAAAGCTAGTGTCCCCTCCATATTTCTGTCAAAGAAAAAGGGACACTGTGAACATTCACAGTGTCCCTTTTTCTTTGACAGAAATATGGAGAGATGTTCAAAGCCTGGATCCTTCAACAACTCCAAGGTGGCCAATCACGGCCAGTTTCAGGAAATTAGAAAAGTCTTCTGACAGAGAGCTTTTTATCCCAATACTTTACAAGCCCCTGAACACATCACTACAATATGTTGATCTGTGTTTGGTGCATTCCATTACTTTGTGTATGCTGGACACACTTTACATTCATTACATTACAATGTAGTGAACATCAGCTGCCTAAGCTGTGTGTGTGTGTGTGTGTGTGAGATAGTGTGTAGACCTAATCATTTCCAATAAATCCTTTAACAGCTTCTAGACCTGAGCCAACAGCTGTCCTCCATTACTACACCATGTGTATGCATGAAGTGTGTGTGGTGTGTTTCTAGCTGCACACAGCCTCACCACTACCTGAGGAGGGAGAAGGTGGCCTTGTATGGGGAAGGAAAACCACTTGGAGAATGAAGTGTGTGTGTGTGTATTCCATTTAGTTATATATTTTAGTAGTAGTCAGTTAGTGTTTGGCATTACCTTCTCTGCAGGTCCATCTCCTCCGGAGAGGGGCCATTCTGAGCCTGGGGGCCCTGCCGGGGACAGGTGGGGCCTGCAGGGGGTGACACAGAGACATCCTCAACATGACAGTCACACGCAACTCCTCCTCTACCATTTCAAGGAAGGAGACTCGTCATATCATACAACTTTTAAACACAGTTTATAGTTAGCATTTAATAAAGGCTCCGTCAGATACAGCTGTTTGTCATGGCAACATGGTGTTGTTGGTCTCTCACACAGATGTGCAGAAGGATTTATTTTATAAGGTGCAACACATATGTTATTGATTGAGTGATTGATTGGATTATATATTGTATATCCCACTTGTGTTTCTGATGGAGAGCAAAGAGGAACACACACTTTTTACACACTTTGAATCCAATACACACTATGCTGTATATACAGTATATACACATATATATATATATATATATATATATATATATATATATATATATATATATATATATATATCTTTTGCTTATATATCATTCAAAACCCCTCTGTTTGTCTGAGGGGATGATAAATGGACATGCTGAACATATACATGTAGAAACCCTGAACTTATATATATATATATATATACATATGTATGTATATGTGTATGAAGAAAAGGCAAAGGCAAAGTAAAAGCCCAGTGGTCAGGATGAGATAAATGGACGGCTCATTGTCCTTTGTCATGCCCAGCCTGAGAGACAGCCTGTCCTCCATCAGAGGTCAGAAGTTCAGGGTTTCTATGTGTATATGTTCAGCATGTCCATTTATTATCCCCTCAGAGACAAACAGAGGGGTTTTGAATGTTATATAAGCAAAAGCATGTAACAGTACACACTCAGAGCTAAATGAGGCACACTGTCTCCACTCTGTCAAAGCTAACCTTGCTCTGAGACACATGTCCACATCCAGCTTTATTTAGAGCAACCGATGAGGCATAGACAGCAAGATTACATATCACACTGAGCTTGTGATGTCATTGTCAAAACATCTATAGCAACATCTGATTGGCTATAGCCCAGCTGAGCAGAGGTGGTGACACTTCAGAATCAGAACTACTTCTTTTGTCAGGCAGCGGGGTCATTGAAGGCGTTACAGCTGCAATGGTACAGTGCAGATAAAAAGCAAAAGGAAAAAGGTTGTCTCAACTGCCTATGCAAACAAATTATAATAATTCAAAATGCTTTATTTCATGAATGGTAAACAACTGTTGTAGCCACAGCAGCAGGATCAACGTCTATTTATGTATATTTATAGAGATGGAAGATCAGAAAGCGAGCTGAAAAAAGACATGAATGGAGAGAACAGTCCAGTTTCAAAGCCCCAGATGGTTCTCCACAACACCAGAGAGATGTTTACTGTTGAGCTCCAGCAGCACGTAGAGTCTCTCACACCAGTCTCTGACTGAGCATACGTCTGAGGCAGATAGCACTAGGCAAAGGCAAACAACTCTATAGCAACAAACTTTCAACAGCGATAGCCAGAGGTGGAAGAAGTACTCCACTTAAGTCAAAGTAAAACATTAATACATTTTTGAATTTTATAAACCAAGATGATGAAATAATCGTTTTTTATTTTCTGCCCTGAATGCAGTTTCAGGTTGAGAGTTTGATTGCTTAAAGTACATTCTTATCTTAACTCGCATTGGGTCCAGTGTGAACACAGCTGTTCAGTCCGTTTCTGTGTCTACATGTTGGGGATTATTTTGGGGCTTGGGGGAGTCAGAAGGTCTAGAAGAGCAGGAGGATCTTCTGCCATCCTCACCTCCTATAGATGACTGCTGGACATTTGATTCCAACACACTGCCAGTTGAAATATCTCAGAGACACGGACAGTGTCAAAGCAGTAGGATCATGTGACCTGCCAACTTGTACTTATTATAGTTTCAGATCTGCCCGGCAACAAGTGGGCCAGCCTGTGAGATGGCAGTAAGCGGCTTAGGTAAACACTTGGATATTCAAGGGGGAGGACTCATAATGAGACTGTGAGGTTGGGGGGGGGAGACAAAGTAAACATCTGTTTAACCAAAGATGCAGGTAAAGTTACAATTATTTGTGATTGAATCACCTCATGAGGCCGCAGATAGACAATATCTGTGAGGATCAAAAAACAAATTAATGGAACAAATATTTCAAAAGATATTGAAAGGCTGTTGATGACAAGAGATTATGAAATAACATCTCTCTGCCATCACATAATTACAATCACCAACTCAAAATGATATAGTAGAGCAGGGGTCAGCAACCGTAACCAGTGGCACACTAGGAATAAGTGGAATAAGTGTGCAAAATATTCAAATTGTATTTTCTGATCCTGAACGAGACCGCCGCCAGAGGACGTCTCCCCGTTACCTGCAGAAGGAAGCCATGCACGCAGCGCAGCCCCGCTCTTTAACTCCAGGTGACTTTCTGCCGCTTTCCTCCGTGGTGCAGGGCTGATCGTTTCACCACGGAGGAAAGCACTGCTGCCGATCTGCTCATCTCTCATCGGAAATAATATGCTACACAGGGGCGGACTGGCCATCTCTGTGTTCTGGAGAATCACAGAACGGACGGTCGTCATTATTATTATGCCGTTTAAACCAATGATTTAAATGTGTTTAAACGGCATCATGTAAGTTGCGCTGACAGGTGAAAGAGGTCCACACACTGCTTCCCCGCAGCGAGGCTCCCCCTGCCCTCCTGTTGACAGTTCACGAGCGTCAAGCTCTTCACCCCCCCCCCCCCCCTCCGTTGACAATTCACGATCGTCGGCACACTGATCACAATTTTTTTTTTATAATGGCACTTCATATCAAAAGGTCTGCCAACCCCTGTAGTAGAGGAACACACCCCCAAAAAAGGCTTTAGTTATCGAGATACCCCTACCCGAGGTAGAACAAAGCACAACCATGTTTTTTCATTACTTTAATATGTCTAGTTTATGAAACGGGTGGTTGTATAAAAATATTGTACTGCAAAATAATTTGTTTTGGTTAATGTTTGGAACTTTCCCATAACCCGAAAATAGTGAAAATGTGGGCTCCTCTGAAGGGGGCCGGCATTATCCCATGTATTTCTGGAATTAATTATCAGAAATTCAGAATCTCACCAAATGTGAACAGTAAGAAAACCAAAGCAATGCTTTTTGCTCCCAAGTCAGCGTCCTCCTCTTGCCTCTCCATTGACACCCTTGATGGCGTTTCTGTTGAGTTTGTTGATACATACAAATATCTGGGCTTTTGGTTGGACAGTAATCTGAACTTTAAACACCATATTGAAGTTTTAACAAAGAAATTGAAATTCACTCTTGGCTTCCTTTTCAGACTTAAATGTTGTTTTTCAATTTCATCCCGTAAAAGGTTGGTCTCTGGCTTATTCCTGTCCCAGCTGGACTACGGTGATACAATCTATAGATTTGCCTGTCCCACTGTTTGGGCCAAACTTGACCCACTCTACCATGCTGCACTGCGATATATATCAAATGCACCCTATAGAACTCATCATTGCACACTGTATAGCCTAACTGGATGGTCCTCACTTACTATGCGTAGGATGCAGCATTGGTTTTTATTAATGTATAAAGCCATTTTAGGTAAGCTTCCACTGTACATGTGTCAGATTTGCCCCAGTTTGTGACTCTTACAACCTCAGATCCAGTGCCTGGATACGGGTCCAGGTTCCTGCTGTACGGACTGAGGCTGGAAAAAGGAGTCTTTCTTATTATGGTCCTTGGTCTTGGAATGACCTTCAATCACGCCTCAAACTGATGGCACTTGTCTCTATATCATGTTTTAAATTGAAGTTGTCTGAAGTCCTCACCACCAGCTGCTCTTGCAGTAACAGGTAGTGTACTTTTCTTACTGTCCTAATGTGCACAATGTAGTGACTGCTTTTTCGTCTTTTGTTTTCTTAGTTCTCTGTATTTGATATGTTTGTGTTATGTGTTATGTGTAACGTTGCTGCCTTCTTGGCCAGGTCAGCATTGAAAATGAGATTTTATCTCAATGTTTTTATCTGGTTAAATAAAAGTTAAATAAAAAATTAAAATGTGGCCTAAATGTTCACAGAGAGGTAAGGCATACAATAAAGCAAAGATGATATCAATACCTTTTACCATCTTTGTAATATTAACACTTTAACACACATAAATCATAGGTGGAAATGGAATGGGATATTTAAAATGCAAAGGGTATGTTTATGCTTTTCTGTCATTTTTAAACTAAAGAGTCCAATCACCCAAAAATGTCATTTATATGTACCAGAGACTCTTATCTTTTCAAAAAATCGTTTCTTTGACTATTCACTTCCCCCTCTGCTGTCACCAGCCTCTAACAGCTAACCAGTGCAGCCAAAATGGCCGTCAGAATGAGGCCCTGTGGGTGTACCTGTGTGAAGGGAAGGACACAAAGCATAGATTAAGAGATCAACAAATATTATATACCTACATATTATATATAATAATGTTTTTTATTATAATCATTATTATATATGTGCTTTATATATCAAACGTTTCCATTCCAAACACATTTTTATTTTTTATTTTACATAATCTTTGAATAACACAGTTGATACTGTAGATACTGTGATCCCATGAGCTAACAGGTCTCTTGGCATAATATTTTCACATGATTTAAAGGTGTTCTATCATGCAAAATGCACTTTTGTATGTCTTTCATACATAAATATGTGTCCCCGGTGTGTCAGGGAACTCACAAAGTGTCAGAAAACAAAACCCTCTTTCTTTTCCTAAACCCAAATCTCTAAAAACGGGGGAACAATGGAGCTGATCAGTGATATGAAGATGACATCTAGCCTTATACTGTATTTATTATTCAAATGTTCCTTAAATGTACCTAGTTGTTGCATAAGATGCCAAAATAAAATGATATTCTTCACAATATTCTATCTCTCTAATAATGACACATCAGGAATCAAATAGGAATTTCCCCCAATGTGAAACCAAAAGTTGCATCCACAGCTCTTCATTTCAGTATCTTTGAGGGCCTTCACATGTCCAAGGTTAAGGACAAGCACACACAGCTTGACACATACTTTTCACATGATTTAACAAGAAAAA